CGCGCCGCCTGTTCATGAAGCATGTCGGCCACCAGCGTGGACCCCCAGGTAGCGGGCCGGGCCGGGGCCGCGGGGCCGGGGTCGCGGGGTCGGGGTCGCGTGTGACCGCGGGGCCCGTTCGCGCCGGAGCGCGCCGCCCGCCCGGGAGGCGTGCTGGTAAATAACTCTGTGTTTCCCTTTCCTCCGGGCTGTGTCTGCTCACACGTCCCGGCCTGCGGCGATGCAGAGAACAAAAGGACAGGACACTAAAGGTAAGCGCAGGTGGGACGGTCCGCAGGCCCGGGGCGGACGGGGCGCGCAAGGCCGCCGAGACGGCCGGCCATGTGGGGCGCGGACGGTCCAGGGAGCCGCGCTGGAACCGGAAACTTCCTCCTCCGCTTCGGGGACATAAAACTTTAGGTTGTGACGTTGGGGGAGAGGCGACACGTCGGAAACGGGGACTTGAAGGAGAAGTCCGTGGGTAGAGGCAGCGCAAGATGGTTGACTGGAGGGAGGCAGGGAGGGAGGCCGAGGGGCCGGGTGACCTTCCTGCCTGCGCCCCGGGTGCCGGGCGGGCGGGCGGGCGGGCGGAGGGGGGCCCGCGGGCGGGCGCTGTGAGCGGCTCCGTGCCCCGGCTCCTCATCCCGTGATGTTGTGGCTGGGGGGAAACCCCCAGAACTCACTCTTGCGAGAGCCCGTAGGTGACCCTTCATGTTTACTTGGAAGACTGTTTTTAACCAGCGTGTGCGTGTTAGGCGGGTGTAACCAAATACGGTTCCTCGTGTTTTAAGATGGGGAAAAGGCCCAGCGCTTTATTTACCTTTGCTTCCCTTTCCTGGCTGCGCATCGTAACGGTGGAAAATAAGCGGAGAGCCAGATAATAACGAGTTGAGAAACGTCCTTCAGTGACAGCCTTTTCCGGGCTCCACGTGCTGAGGGCTGCCGGGGCCCCTCTCCCCACATACAGCCGGGTTTCTGGAAGCGCCTGCCTCTGGCGTCGGTATAGACTGAACCCCAGTTACAAGGTCCTGGCGTAGTTTCGTCTGCACCTCCAATTTTGTCAACATCTGCTAAGTTATGATGACGTCCTTATCGAAAGCGTTACGTTGGAAGTCTGCGTTGCCATTCTGATTAGTTGTGTAAATAGAAGTTCCATACTGATTGTGTCTTTTTTTTTCTCCGTTGTTAAGTTAAAAGCAGTTTCTACTAGAAGTTGATGGGCATAGACCTTATGACCTTTAATTTCCATGCTTAAAAGTAATTTCTAAAAATTCAAACATATCTGTTTGTACTATTTGTTCTAGTACAAAATGGTTCTTTGCATCAGAAGGATACAGTTCATGACAATGACTTTGAGCCCTACCTTTCTGGACAGTCAAATCAGGTGAGTTTATTTTTTTTTAACATATATTTTTGCATTAGTTTTGACTGAGTTTTGTAGTCCACCTCTGCTGCCGGGTATCTGACCTTATTATCCTAAACAACAAAGCAGCAGACTGTGAAGCACTAGAAACGGTAGGAGGATTGCTAATGAAGACTGGCTTTGCGTTGAGTGTGCGTGTGAGTGCCGGGAGGCTGGCTTTCTCTCCGGAGGAAGGAACTACCGGGCCGGCTGGTTTGCGAGCCGAATGCTAGGCGGCCTGGGTGTTGGTGGGCCAGGGTGCGCTGTCTGGGACGGAGTGGAGGTGCAGGTCGTTAGTTCCCTGGTGCTTTCTGAGGAGTTACTTTAGCTCTGGATGGTTGGACTTGTGGTCCAGGAGAGCAGCTGCGAGCCGGACTTTGGAGCCCAACCCCTGCCTTGGGCTTGAATCTTAGCCCCACCGCTGACTGACGTGTGACGCTTCTCAGATGGCCTGCCCTCTGTGCCTGCTCCCTTTTCTCTAAAAGAGTGGTAAATCCTCAGAATTGTTGGGGAGTGACATAGAGGGTGCACATAAAGCTCGGAGATGGGACCTGGCACAGGCCCAGTGACTGGCCGCCTAGTTTCTTGGGTGTTTCCAGGTTTCCCAGCCTTGGCACTGTGGACATTTGGGACTGAAACATTCTTTGTTTCGTATTATAGGATGTTTAGCATCCTCTCTGGCCTTCATCCACGAGGTGCCATTAGTAACTGGCCCCCGCCCCTGCCTGCCCGCCGCAGTGTGACAACCAAAAATGTCCCGGCAGATGTCTCCTGGGGCTAAACTGCCTTGGTCAAAACCACTGAGCTGGCTGGAGTTTAGGTTTACATGTAAGATCTGCTGCTTTCAACGTGCACTGTGCGTGTTTGCTTTGGAATAGAAGCAGGCTTAGCCCCTCCCCGTGGTGGACTAGAGCCAGCCTGCCTCTGTCCTCACTAACCTGCCTTCCTCCAAAGTGTCCTAGAGCTTTTCTTCCTCCTCCTCTCTTCTGCACCTGGCAGTTCGGCAGCTGGGGCCCCTGAGAGTCTGCCCCACCGCTGGGGTGGGCTTTTGCCAGAGGAAATGGCAGGAATGGATGTATTTTTTTTTGACTATCTGATGTTTTCTTAGATGATTTGAGTACTATAGAGCAGTATTGTGTACTAATTTTAACCAAAAGTGTCATTGTTTCACCTCACTGGAAATACATTTCTGTGAGGCAGGAGCGTTCACGTTACTTGGGAGAGTTTCTGTAAAATGGAACGGATGACTCTGAGGTCAGTGACGTGGTCACACATCTGTTGCTGCGACATGGAAGGACCCGTGCAGCGAAGCTGTCAGCAGCCTGGAAGCAGCCCCTTTGCCCTGCATGTTAGTGGTGTGCTTTCTAGCGAGATGGTCACCAGCGCTTAAGGGTAAACCCAGGCTCTGCGTTGAGAACACTCCCCAGGAACGTCCGCCCGGCTGGCCGTCGTCGGGGGTCGGAGGCAGAGCACACGGAGAGTGCTTCGTTTCATAGATGAGGAACCCGGGGACCAGAGGCGCCCTGTCTGCCCAGGGGATGGGGCCCGTTAGTGCAGAGCCAAGCATGCAGCGAGCCCCCGCCGTCTGTCCCTGTGTGTGTAGTCACCTCTTCCCAAGGCCACGCAGTGGGGCTACCCTTGCAATCAGGACTCACTGGAGTTGTTGCTGCCTTGATTTGGGCTCTGCTGGCAGGGCCCTGTGAAGAGGGTTCTCTCTGAACTTCGACTCCAGTTCTCAGGTTGAGGGAGAGAAGAATGTGTGGCTGGAAGCAGGAAAGTCACAGCTCTGTCACTTCATGCAGTGCTCAGCTGCACACACGTGAGGGGACACTTCCGTGGACTTGCCCTCGCACGCGCACACCCATGGGACGGCTGTACCTGTCGGCACGTGCTGCTTTCCTTTCTTACCCACACACTCGCAGCGGGCGGGAGGCCACCAGGTCTTTTGTTCTGTGAAGGGTGACCCTGTGGGGTGACTCGGAGAACACCTAGAGGCCTGCCCTCAGGTGGGGGAGCCCTGTCTGTGCTGCGCTGCCAAGGGGCTGTCGCCCTCAGAAGCTGCTGGTGCACGCTTTCCCTGCGAGTTGCCCTGGGGGCCCCTTCTGTGACTTCGAATAATGGTGGTCAGTTTTTGGGACATGAGGGGGGAAGGGAAAGCCCCGGGGAGAAGTGGGCTCTGGCTGAGGGGTGTCCTTCCCGCCTTCCCGGTTTTCTTGTTTTCAGAAAGGTAAGGAAACACCGAAATGACCCAGAGAAGTCCCTCTGAAGCTGGCTGACGACCAGGCCGCATGCGTGCCGTGGCAGTGTGGGCAGCGAGGAGTTGACCAGGGCACCTGCGTCCACACTCAGTACTCGACTGTCACACTCATGGGTTTGCTCAGTCACCTCTGGCAGGGACAGGAAGAACTAGATGTCAACGCTGTTTTCCTCTAATGGCTCAGTTGGCTCCCAAGTGTACCAGGAAACACCCCCTTTCTAAGAAAGTCCCGTAAACCCCTGTGTCGGGCTCCAGTCCGGTCACTGTGACGAGTTCCAGCCTGTGCTGATGCTTTTCCTTAGAGCCACGTTGACCCCCACGCTGGGACGGGCTTCAGCTCCCCTGGGGGCAGCGCCCCTGGAAGTGCTGGACGTGGCCCAGGAGCTGAGGATGCTACGCTCCCCAGCACCTGTGTGCCACAAGCATTCCTCACATGTCATCTTCTGTGCTGTCTGGCCTCCAGTGTCACCCAGGGTTTCCATCATTCTGGGGTGGTTTTCTTCAACCAGCAGCACAAAGCCAGGCCAGACAGATGCCTCGTCAGGGCGTGTGCTCCAAGGAGGACCTGGGAAGAGACCTGGCCCTGGGGGGCCCGGGCACTGGCTGCGAGGCCAGGGGAGCGCATCTCTTGTCGTTGTGTGAAAGCTTTGGCTTCCCTAAAACAGTGGGGCCTCACAGTAGACTTCCGCCCGGAGATTCAGCTGGCGGGACCCAGCGGCCTCTCAACACATTTGTGAAGTTGCTCACAGCTGCGCTCCTCGAGGCAGGAAGCTAATGCAGAAGTTGCGTGGGTGTCAGGAGCTGTGGTCTCTCGTGTGCCCTGCGGGTGATCTGCCAGCACAGGAGCTGAATCACAGCCCTGAGCACAGGAAAGCAGGCAGGGCTCCTCAGAAGAGCTCCTGGGCTCAGCCAGTGTCCCGGGTGGGTCTGTGTCACTTCGTCACTGTTTGCATAATTGTCCTGGATGTGTTTACATTTTCCCTTTTTGAGTAAGTGCTTCTCCGCATATTCCAGCAGTGTGGTTTTTCCCTTGTGTGTCTGAAGAGTCTTTCCGTTTCTCCCCCCAGTCCCTGCCCTTCCTTGGTCACTAATGGCTGAGTCACTTTATTGTTTGTGAAACTGAAAGCTTTTGAGTAATGTCAGGATTCCTGCCTTCTCGGAAAAACCACTATAGGAAGCAAATGTTTCAGCTTTAAACGGTTCTAGTCATTCAGAATGAGAGCTTCTTTCTTTTTTTAATGTGGTTAAATTTTAGTAAGTATGAAAAACTCTTAATTCTAGAATAGATTTATTGCTTTATTGTGTTTTACTATTAGGTTTTTCAAAGGAAAGGATCGAGGGGTAATAGTCATGTTTTGTTTGGTATGCCCATCTGCTCACCATTTTTATTAGTCACCAGGACACACCCCCAGAGTCCAGCGCTTGGGGTGTCGTCTTTAATGCCAGGAGACTGATCTTGCCTTGAAGTGGGTGCGATCTGATCTCAGTGTTGCTTGTGAAAGCGCCAGTCATGGTGATGGTTTACCTGCGTTGTCCGTTCCTTCCAGACCAAGACAGCTGCTCAGAGGTGTAACTGCGTAAAGAGCAAGCTCGGATTCGTTCCCCTTGTATGAATGTCAGTGTTTAAGAAAGAGCTGTAAGGGCCGGCCGAGTGGCTCAGTTGGTTAAGAGCTCGCTCAAGAGTTTGAGCTCTGAGCAACAGCGGTTCGAGTCCAGCCCAAGCTGAGCAGCCGCTGAGCTGCCAACAGGTGGCAGGATGGCTCAGCTAAAAAAAAAAGAAAAAAAAGAAAGAAAGAGTTGTAGTCCAGACAGTTTGTGCTCACCTCACAGTGACCTGCCGCTGGGCAGATGGCAGGAGGACACATCCCAGGACTGCCACCACCAGGCTGCCTGACCGACCACTTCTGTCCCAGGCTCCTGGGTCTGAAGCCCTGACTGGAGATGAGGGGGTCAGGTGATGCCGGCTGGGGGCTCCACATCTCCCCCCGACGGTCCTGGCTGCCTGCAGCTGGGAACCTGTCTGTCTGGGGGTGTTGGTGCGACTGGGATGCCAGGTGTTCGCTGAAAGTAATACTTCAGATGGATTTTCAGGGACATTAAGTGGTTGACATGACAATGTCATCTCATATCCTGCTGTGGCTAAGGCTTAAGTGTAACTCAGAAAGGTGGCTTTCTCTTCTCCCCTGTGCCCTCCTCGCGTGGGAGGGGGGGAAGGTGCATTGAAGCTGACGGGGCACTGCCGAGGAGAGAGTGCCCAGCTGACGGGCAGGAAAGGTGGCCTCGCTTTGGAAGGACTGTCCCATTGTCCTGGTGTCGCAGGCACTGAAGTCAGAGGCTTAAGCCCTGGTCTGCCCCTCACCTCGCAGAGCAGGTCCTCTGCCCAGGTCTCCCTCCTGTCACCGCCCGACGGAAACGTTTTGAGGGCCCAGGTTGGGTGGAGGCACGTTGAGGGAGAGGTGACACTAAGGGGGGCCAGGGCCACTGGAACCCTTTCAGGGACAGCAGCTCAAGCTAGTCCCTGCTTACGGACACTGGTGGTGGCACGGGTTTGTCTTCTTCTCACTCCCTGAGACTCCAGGAGTTTCGTTACAGGGTGACAGTTATTGCTGCATGTTAAAGGTGATTCTTCTGGAATAGTTGCTGCAGGATGGCTCCGCCAACAGGAAGGAAGTCTGACTCCTGAAGCCCCAAAAACCCTAGGATGGACGGGATGGGGAAGCAAGGAGTGATCAGCTGGGTCCCACTTGCGCTGGTGTGTGCTGAGGGGCCAGCCTGTTCTCAGGACCGTGGGGGGTGGGGGGAGCGGGTCCCAAAAGTCACTCCCTGTCCTGGCCCCAGCGCACCAGAGCTGCTCTCCGTCTGGCATTCCACACCCACCCCCACCCCAGCTGCACTCACACTCAGAACTCCAGCCACCCTCGCGGGCCGGAGCCGTGGGTCTTTTCGCTTAAAGACAGGTTGGGGTTGGGGTGGGAGGTTTCTAGCTGACGCTCTGCGTAGAACTTTCTGATTATTTGGGGGATATGGGGACTGTTAAGAAATCCGAAAACGGCAGGAGACCTCAACGTTTGCCCTGCTCTGGTTTTCCTTGCAGCCTTAGAAGGGCGTCCTCACCCTGCACTTCCCTCTCTAGCACCCCCACAAACACACTCCCGGGACACTACTTTCATTACCTCCTCAGACTGGCCTGGGGTGGGGGCCCAGGTCCGACCAGAACCCCCGGGCGAGTCTTGCCAGTCTGAAACCCGCACCCTGGAGCTCTTGGGAGCCCCTGAGTTGAGGCCCTGCCACCCGCGCGGTCTGGTCACCTTTAACCCCTCTGAGGTTTTGGCCGCTACACGCAGGCTGCTGCCTGTGGGTGAAGGAGCTGGACCCGCAGAGCCTCTGTGCTGCCAGGCCCAGTGGGAGGCGGAGCCTAGGGCTGTGCCCAGGCAGCCGTGGGGCTGGCGGTGGCCTCGCCCCTTTAGACTCCTGTACGGCGGGCTCCCAGGAGAGTCGTGTGGCAGGGGCTTCTGAAGTGGCCCTGATGGGTGAGGGGTCCTGTGGGTCGGAGGGAAAGGCTGACCCCCTGGGCAAGCTGGCATCCATTTGCGGGGCAAGCCCATAGCCCTGAGCGGCCCAGCCTGCCGTAGGAAGCACCTCGCTGCCTCTTTGAAGCTGTTCTCGCATTGGTGCTGCCTGTGCTGTCATAGGCATCACTGCCAGCAGGGCAGCCTGACCTTCGGGCCAGGCTCCGTTAGATGGGCCGCTTCTCTGAGGTGAACTGGAGGGGCTGCTGAGAGCATGCTGTCCAGCCAGCACAGAGTGGCTGAGCTTAGTCACTTGACTCGACTCCAGGTCACGGCAGGTGGTGCCCTGCACGTGGGGACATCCCCTGGGCTTTCTTCTCCCACCTCCTGCGATTCTGGCAGCACCAGGGGTGCCGTGCTGTCCCACCTCCTGCCAGCCTACACTTGCACTTGAGCAGGTGGCCGTCGTTTTTAGTGGTCTGAGAGTGGTCTAACTGGTCACCTGTTGTTTCCGCAGAGTAACAGTTACCCCTCCATGGCTGACCCCTACCTGTCCAGCTATTACCCACCGTCCATCGGATTCCCTTACTCCGTCAGTGAGGCGCCGTGGTCTACCGGAGGGGACCCCCCCATCCCGTACCTCACCACCTATGGACAGCTCAGTAACGGGGACCACCATTTTATGCACGATGCTGTGTTCGGGCAGCCCGGGGGTCTGGGGAACAACATCTATCAGCACCGGTTTAATTTCTTCCCTGAAAACCCTGCCTTCTCAGCCTGGGGGACAAGTGGGTCTCAGGGCCAGCAGGCCCAGAGTCCGGCTTACGGGAGCAGCTACACCTACCCGCCAAGCTCCCTGGGTGGCACAATGGTGGACGGGCAGACGGGCTTCCACAGCGACACCCTCAGCAAAGCCCCTGGGATGAACAGCCTGGAGCAGGGTATGGTGGGCCTGAAGATCGGCGATGTCACCGCCTCTGCTGTCAAGACGGTGGGCTCAGTGGTCAGCAGCGTGGCCATGACTGGCGTGCTTTCTGGTAACGGTGGGACAAATGTGAACATGTCGGTGTCGAAGCCAACTTCGTGGGCTGCCATCGCCAGCAAGCCGGCAAAGCCACAGCCGAAAATGAAAGCCAAGAGCGGACCTGTCCTCGGGGGCACGCTACCCCCTCCACCTATAAAGCATAACATGGACATTGGCACCTGGGATAACAAGGGGCCCGTGCCCAAGGCCCCGGCCCCCCAGCAGGTGCCGGCCCCCCAGCCTGCCCCCCAGCCCCCGCCGGTCGTGCCATCTCTGCCCACTCAGGCGCCCCCTTTGGCCCAGCCACAGTATCAGAGCCCTCAGCAGCTGCCCCCCACCCGTTGGGTGGCCCCACGCAACAGGAGCGCAGCGTTCGGGCAGAGCGCAGGCACTGGGGGCGACAGTCCCTGTCCAGGTGGTGCCCAGCCTGGTGGCACTGCAGGCATGGAATGCCACCCCGTCCTGGAGAAGCTGAAGGCGGCACACAGCTACAACCCCAAGGAATTTGACTGGGACCTGCGCAGCGGGCGCGTGTTCATCATCAAGAGCTATTCGGAGGACGACGTGCACCGCTCCATCAAGTACTCCATCTGGTGCAGCACCGAGCATGGCAACAAGCGCCTGGATGGCGCCTTCCGCGCCCTGGGCAGCCGCGGGCCCGTCTACCTGCTGTTCAGTGTCAACGGCAGCGGCCACTTCTGCGGGGTGGCCGAGATGAAGTCGCCCGTGGACTACGGCACGAGCGCAGGGGTCTGGTCTCAGGACAAGTGGAAGGGCAAGTTCGACGTGAAGTGGATTTTTGTCAAGGACGTGCCCAACAACCAGCTGCGGCACATCCGGCTGGAGAACAACGACAACAAGCCAGTCACCAACTCCCGCGACACACAGGAGGTGCCCTTGGAGAAAGCGAAGCAAGTGCTGAAGATCATCGCCTCCTACAAGCACACGACCTCCATCTTCGACGACTTCTCCCACTATGAGAAGCGCCAGGAGGAGGAGGACGTGGCTCGCAAGGTGGGTCTGGGTGGGGCGGGCAGGGGCCCAGGTGCTCGTGGGAGCGGCCCCTGGTGACAGCGCAGTGGGTGTCGCCACACGACCTCTTCCTGTCTCAGTTTCTGGGAAATGGCGGTTGGACCGCAGTGTACAGGTTCTCTTAGGAAGAACTTAGGGTAACTCACGCTTTCCTTTTCTAGCACAGTGCATGCTCGTCATTGTCACAGCAGGGGCACTGGGACAGGCAGTGGGCCCGGCCTGGGGCTGCCAGGCCTCACCCACCTGGGGCCCCCCCGAGTGCTGTTCTCAGCCATTGGGAAGTGCTGGTCTGCAGGTCGTTGCTTGCTTCTCTCGAGAACCCAATGTCCTCAGTTTTTGGAAAGTCGACCTGCCTCACCTGGGTGGTAAGCGTGGGGCGTCTGAGACCAATCAAAAGCGGAGACGCTGAGCCTGAGCGTCCCCAGCCCAGTGGAGAATGGGCTTAGGAGCCCGCACGCTGGCCCAGAAACGGGGACAGACAGACAGCGTAACACACTTTGACTTTGGAAGGAGTTCACCCTGAGATTGTCTCCCGTGTTTTGTTTGTTTTCAAATGTCCTTTGTTTCATGACATGTCAGTTGATAATAGATGGATTTTCTTTCTTTTTTTCTTTTTTAAACATTTTATTGGAGAATTGGGGAAGGGGAACAGCCAAGTTGTGTCCTTCCATCTTAGTTGTGGAGGGCGCAGCTAGCTCAGCGCCAAGTCCAATCACCATCCGGCCGCCCATTGGAGGCTCGCGGCCACTCAGCTCAAGATGCCGTGTTCAATCTTAGTTGCAGGTGGGCATAGCCCACCATCCCATGTGGGAGTCCAACTGGCATCCTTGTTATTAGGAGCCTGTGCTCTCACCAGCTGCGCCATCCTGCCACCTGTTGGCAGCTCAGCTAGGGTGCAGCTCACTGGCCCATGTGGGGATCAAACCGGCGACCCTGTTGCTCAGAGCTCGCGCTCTTAACCAACTGAGCCACTCGGCGGCCCATAATAATTGGCTTTTCAGTCCTTTTTCGGTTCTTCACATTAAAAAGAAGCGTTGCCCGTCTGTGACCATCAAACATCCTGAAGCATTTTTAGCAGAAAGGCATGTAAACGGGGCCTGCAGAGGATGCTTAGTCCTGTGAGCAGTTGTAAGTGACAATGGTGACAGCTCAAGTTTGCACACTTTGAAGACAGGTTGCTCTGTTTCACTCTTGTGTGGACAAGAGAAGGGCTTATCATTTATTTCGTTACTGAAGTGCTACAGTTCAGCTCTTCTAGGTACGGCATGGAAATTTAAAGTACAGTTGCTGACTTTGTGGGCTGGAGCGAGCGCACTGATCACACAACCTGAGGTCCTCAGTCGACCTGACATTGGCAGCTGGCTGTGTCGTTTGTCTTCAGTGCTGTGACACATGGCTCTTTTCCTAGCGCTCACAGCGTTCTGAAGGTGGTGGCAAGCCCCGCGCCTGCCTGGGGTCTTCACGGTGCCGGTGTCCTAAGCTCTCACTGAGCAGCCAGGCCCGCTGGTGACTGTCGGTGAAGCCATCAGTCGGACCACGCATGTGGCCTGGGGCCGTTCCTGCAGCCAGCTCAGCAGGTGTTTGAAATTCCCCCAGAACCATAACAAGTGTTCCTGCCCCGGGGAACCCCTGTGACATCCTCGGAAGGCTCCCCAGGAAAGACTGCCATCTCCCAAGCTTATGCCTGACATCCACCAGGCCCACGTGGATCAGGGCTGACTCATTCTGTTAAGAGTGACTCGTTGGTTGAAGAGTTGGCTTGGGGAGCATTTTCTCAATCCATTGAGAGTTTGCTTACCGGCAGTTGTCGTCAGTTTGGCTCAAATAAACTCTTATTAAAAAAAAAAAAAAAGTTGGCTTGGGACGCCAGCTCTGAGCAGCAGGGACCCAGTTCAGATCCCACATGAGGGCCAGTGACACTGCTCCCTCTACAGCTACGATGGTGAACAACAGCTCGACCTGGAGCTGGGCTGCCGTGAGTGGCCAGCAGCCAGCGTTAGCTGCTGTGGGTGGCCGTCCAATGGCTGGGAGAGTGACTGCCTCAGCCGGGAAGAGCGCAATGATCACAACACCAACATGGGCCAGTGAAGCAACGTCCTCCACAACTAGACTGAAGAACAAAAGGACAGCGACTTGTCTGTTCCCCTTCCCCAATTCCCCAGTGCGGTTCCCCTCCCCCAGTTCCCCAATAAAATCTTTAAAAAAAAAGAGTGACCGCGGGAGCCCTCACTGCCCGCTGTTGTCTATACTTCAGACCAGGCTGAGCTCATGTGGGTGGGGCTCCGCCTGGTCCCCAGAACCTTCCCCCAGGGTGCCTATGTCTGGTGCACCCAGGAGCCCACTGTGCTCTGAAGGGTAGACGTGCTGACAGGAGGTCAGGCAGGAGCCCTCTAGACACGAGCTTGCTGGGGGCCACCTGGGCAGTTTTCACGGAACGACCCACCTTTGTGAGCAAGATGTAGGAGACATTTGGCAGGACTGCTGTCCTGTCCTGTCCTCAGCTAAGGTTTGGACACACGGGTTCCTAGGGCAGATCAGGTCCTGGAGGTGTGTGGGTTTTTACCTGTACGCGGTCACTCCTTGGGGCACTTCAAATAGTGTAGTGACAGTCAAGCCGAAGGGTCCCCTTACCTGCTGGCCTGGAGCCCCAGGCCGGGGCCTCTGCACAGACCGGCCAGGACCTGGGGAGAACTGGGCTGAAGAATGAGCATTTCCTGGGACGTGTGTTGATGACCTTCCTCTAGGGTGAACTGTGCTTCCTTCGTGAAGTGGGGAGTTTTTAAGAGCACGAGGTGAACCCCGCAGTTGGTCGTGGGAAGGAGCAGGGTCTGGGGGACTGTTGTCATCGGGGGTGCTCCAGCAGCACCACCCAGAGAGGCTGGCGTCTTCCCAGGAGGAGCAGCACCTGCGTTCTTGCCTAGAGAACGCAGAGTACAGCGCTTCTAGTTTTCCAGTGTGGAGTTCAGGGTGGGGAGGGGGTGTGGGCCTTGGAGCAGTGCTGTCTTTTCAGGCCTGGGAGCTGCTGTGACAGGCACAGGGGCCTCCAAGTGGAGGGCGTAGGGAGAGAGCTGCTGTGTTCTGTTAACCTGAAGACATATTCAGCCCAGTTTTAGCAAAAGGGAGAGTTATCCTTTAACTGACTGCTAATCTGTCTTGGGAATTGTCACCGACCAGCCCCGCACAGCAGTGTCCTTCACTGGCTTCGTCTTGGTGGGACAGGGGCGGGTCGAGGTGGGCGAGCGTCCCCATGTCCACACTTACCAAGTTCAGTGCAGTCGCAGCGCTGTGAGGAGCCTTACCACTGAGAAAGGGGAGGCCGGTGGGGAGCCACAGCTGGTCAGACCCCTGGCGGGCAGGCTGGTTCTCCCTGTGGCGGGAGCACAGCTGCCGCAGGAGCCCGGCCTGGTGCAGGTGGGTGCCGGGCCGAGGGAAGTGGCGGGACCTACTGGGCAGCCTGGGACCTCACTTTTGAGGGAATTTCTGCACATTCACTCCATGTGTTAAACTTTTGTCCTGTTTATTTTTGCAGGAACGACAGAATCGAAACAAACAATGAGGATCTGCCTTTTTCTTTCATGATCTAACTTTGACTGAGAAACGGAGCCTGAGGAGGCGTGTGCTTGGTGCTGTCCTCGTGTGCAGGCCCAGTGGTGGCATCTCCGCATTCTCTGTGGTCTCCTTTTGCCCAGAGGGGTCTGCGTTCCTTGGTATTTTCCTCTGTATTATAGTATTGTAGAACTCACTAATAAAGGAGAATGGATTTTGTCAGCCTATCAGTCAGATTGGCCTAATGCGCAATTGAAGTATCTAAAAACAAAAAACCCAATACATCCCAAAGATTTCTTTGATTTTGGCAGAGATTATGTTCTCATTCTTACTTGCAATCATGTGACGTCTTCGTGAGAACGACGTCTCACCCCTTACTGCTTCACGGTGAACACAACAGGCCATAAGTTGTTTTGTCATGCAGTGTATTCTCTTCAAGTACTTCTCTTGGAAATGCCGAAATCAGCAGGTGAAGGCTCACCTTGTTTGGCTGGTTTGCCATTTTTATTATCCGCTATCTGTCTGAAATGCTAATCTGCCCATTTGGGTTTTTTGCCGACAGAAAGATCAATTTTAGTTTTTTGAATGTGCTCAGCACTGTTTCCTCCCACAGCCCCGCACGCCTGGCAGCCTCTCTGTCTGGCGGGACGCTGGCAGGCCGTGGCGTGCGGGGTGGTGGGTCCAGTGGCCGGGTGCTCCGTGTGTGCACGTCGTTTTAGTCCCATTCCCTTCACTGGAGAGCGCTGATGCCATTTTGTTTCTGTGCCGATAATCTGAGCTTTAACAAGTAGGGCCTGACAGCAGACAGTGTGACGGTTGGTGCTCCCCACTGTAAATCTCACCGTGCATCTAAATCTATTTTTCCTGTTGAATGGGTGAAAAAAGCAAAAACAACCCTTTTAGAAACAACTTGCTGTCACGTTTTGTGGAATGGGCATCGTGGGGGGCCTCGCTGTCACCTGCAGCTTAGTGGAAGCGTGGGCATGGCGCTCGAGCTGCTGCCCTGGCGCCCGGGCTGTGCGGAGGGCAGGTCCTCCTGGAACCATTTCCTCCCGAAGCCCCTCTGAGGTCAAAGTGAAGCTGGAAGCTGTGTTATTTAGACTTGTATTTAGAGCGCGCCCCTCTGAGCTGTTGCTGCTTGCGGAGTCACAGACGACATTGGGCCCCTTTTCCTCCAGGAGAACACAAGCCTTAATAAATGACACCTATTGAGCAAGTTGGCGTCGGTGCTTCCTTCACCCCTGGGGGGGCGGTTTCTAGCTGCAAAGCCAGGCCTGTGTGTGTCTGCTGCAGCTAGCTGGTGGCCCCTCAGACGGAGCTGTGACTTCACTCGCCCCTTGTCCATGTTGAATGGGCAAAAGAACTTAAAAGACCCACTTCTAACCCAGAATTTGTAGTTTCCCCGAAATTTTACTGTAGCCTCCAGATGTGCAGCAAAGCTGGAGGAGCTGGGCTAGTGCCCAACCCCCAGTCCCGCCCTGTCTGCCTGCTCACCCTCCCACCTCCCACCTGCCCCTGGAGGATTCGCATGCCCTTCCTCACGTGGCTTTCCCTTGGGGGTGGAGTTGACAAAAAGGCACAGACACAGCAGAGTTGTGACAAGTGTGAGAGAGAGACCCTGGCACCAACATCCCAGGAAACCCTCGCACCCTTTCCCAGGTGGTGACGCTAGAGATGCCACAAGGGACGGGAGGTGAGTCCTAGACTCCGGCAGCTCAGGCCATGTCCTCGCTGGCCACGGTCTGTCGGTTTGCTCACAGCTGCTGCTGTGATCTCATTCTGAAAAGCGTTAGCCTTGCGTTTGCCAGCCCTTGTCTCGTGTGACCGCTGGGCTCCGTTGTCCCACGTGTGTGATCGCTGGGCTCCCTTGAACAGTGAGTGGCTCCTGGCTGGTAAAGTGACAGGCCGAGTGATGCGCCAGGAGGTGCTGCATGTGACAATGGCTTGTCCCCCTCAGTGAGTCATAGCAACAGGGTTGGGGCTTCCACGGGCATGGGAGGAGGGCCATGGGCTGGTTACAAGGAGCAGAGGCGTGTCGGCACCTGGGTCTGACCGGCCTGTGCTGAGTCCCTAAGTGTCACCTGCTCTGAAGGCGTCCTGGGCCTCCTCACTTGCGTCCCAGGCCCTCCGGGGCGCTTCGCCTCCAGCAGCTAAATGCTTCAGAGGAAGGAGGGTGTACCGGGGGCTCTCTTATACGTGCGCCAGGCTCTGCTTGTGAGGGCTGCCCGTTGTACCTCTCAAAGCCAGGCGGTCGGCCCTTCTGTCCCAGTGTCCCACCTGAAAGCACACCGTGTTGGGGCTCTTAAGTTCCACAAATGCCATCAGCCTGCTGTGCTCTGAGGTCCCTCTGGCTCTTGAAGTTTCTTGCAAGGTCTGATTGGAGTTGTGCAGACAACACCCAGCAGGCTGGCTGCTGTGTCACCCACTGTGTCCATAGGCTCTTCAGCACCATCACTAAGCTGTCCCGCAACAGGAGCGTGGCCAGGAGCTGGCTCGGCCTGTTGGTGGCTTCTCCCTGGGTGGGGAGCCTGTCCTGGTTGCTTGCTGTCCAGGATTGAGGGACTCAACTCTGGTAGGACGAAGGGACCGGGTCACTAGCCTTGTGTCCTAGTTGTCTCTGGTCCTCACTGGCTGTCTCAGTGAGGTGGCCAGCAGTGGGTTTGTGCTTTTTACAGCAGTGCATGCAGTGACTTACTGTTCTCTGCCCCTCTGTGCGTGCCCCATGCCCCCCTGCATGTGCCCCCCATGCCCCCCTGCATGTGCCCCATGCCCCACACCATGGCTTCTTCCGCAACCTGCGGTGGCTTTTAAGATCTGTGTGTTACCTTTTTTTTTTAAAGATTTTATTGGGGATTTGGGGGAGGGGACCAGCCAAGTTGTTCTTCAATCTTCCTTGTGGAGGGCGCCAGTCACCATCTGGCTTCCCATCGGCAGCTTGTGGCCTCTAAGCTCAAGGTGCTGTGTTACAATCTCAGTTACGGGTGGGCGTAGCCACCATCCATGCGGGAGTCGAACCAGCAGCCTTGTTGTTAAGAAAGCACGCTCTATCCTCTGAGCCATCCAGGTGGCAGCTCAGCTCAAGGTGCCGAGTTCAGTCTTAGTTGAAGGTGGGCGTAGCCACCATCGAACAGGCAGTCTTGTTGTTACACCAGCTGAGCCATCCTGCCACCTGTTGGCAACTCAGCGACAACTCAGCTCAGGCTCAGAATCACTGGCCCATGTGGGAATCGAACTGGCGGCCTTGTTGCTCAGAGCTCGTGCTCTTAAGCCAACTCTTAACCAACTGAGCCACTCGGCCGGCCCCAGTTATCTTTTCTAAACCAACGTGGTAGAGGATGGCATTTGAATGGTTGCCCTGCACATACTTTTACTATACTAATTCTCTATGGAGGCGAGTCACCAAGCGAAATTTTTGGAGCTAAAAGAACAAACACCCAGTAGGCCATTTCTTCTCAGAGTTCACCTTTATTTAATGGGAAGGACCCCAAGAAGAGGATCCAGGTGAAGGTGTGACAGGAAGGGCTGCCGCACGCTGGGAAGTAACCTCACATTTGCGATCCGTCCTGGGCCTTTTGTCCAGCACATCACCTGTCCAGCGACTGACACAGCCGTGATACTTCTACCTCAGGGCCATCTGACTCCTGCTGGTCATTAGCACAATGTCCGTTACAGCATTTGGGGGTGGGGGGAGGCTTCTGAGAGGAAGCCTCAACGTCCAGCTCTGCTGTCCTCCCCACCGCCTGCTCTGCTCCGGACAGCAGCACCCACCTCACAGGGTGCATTCCACCCCCGCTTGGTTCCTCCCTACAGGGTCCCCGGATGACTGGTCCCTTGGTGTCCTCTGCAGATGGAGGACGTTGGGTCAGCTGCCGACTGCTGTCCCAGGGCAGGAGCGCTGTGAGCCGGGGAAGCCCTGGGCAGTAGGAAACAGGACTGGGTTTAGTCCCAGGGCTGGTGCAAAGGGCAGGGGGTGCCCGCCAGCAGAGACCAGGGCGGTGACGCCAAGAGCATGGTTCCTCCCCCGAACCCCTTTCTGGGCGCTCAGCAGGCCACCTTCCCTGGGCCACCCTCACACAAGGGCCCTTCCTTCTGGGGGCCTCCTCGCGGCCCTAACACTGACCGCAGCTCTGGGAGGCCGTCACTGAATGCTGTCCGAGCTTTGGCTGCCTTCCGTGCCCCCCACTGTGTGTGTTATAGCTCTGGTCGGATGAGGCCTCTGCTGCTTGCAGGAGCCCGGAGACAGTCCCACCAGGGGCCAGTTCCCAGCCACAGCTCAGGCCAGCCAGTGAGTGGCCTGCTCCCCAGCACCCTGTTTTTGGTCGGCTGAATGGCATCCTTTGCCCTTCCCCCCGCTCTGCAGGGCTGATGCCTGGGTTTTCTTCCTGCTCAGGTGTGCTCCTGGTGCAGGTACCAGAATTTCATGTCCACACAGAGCAGGTCCCACTGGCCCCCAAGCCCTAAGGTCACTGGAACCCGGAACTCTGGTCACTAGCTGGCTTTGAGGGGACAGGGCTTGGTGACAGTTCCTGCCACTGAGGGCCACTGGGCCAGCTGGGGTATGAGGCTCCCAGGGTCACAGGGCAGCAGGACCTCCAAAGAGGAAGGAAGAGGCCAGTGTGGGCGGGAGCTCTGCCGGCAGCCTTCCAGGAGGAGGCGGGGCTGCGCCGTCCCTGGGGCAGGGTGGCCAGGGGAGGCCCTAGGAGCTGGGACAGCGGGCAGGGTAAGTGGGCCCATACCCTGGGGGATCCGGGGTGAGGGGGCATTGGGGTGGCAGCAGCAGGGGAGCAGTGGGCATCTGCATCCAGTGGTCAGGAGTAGGCGAGGGCTCAGGGCCATGGTCTGAGAGGGCTGCGGTCAGCGCAGCAGGTGAGGAGGCCAGAGTCCGGGAGCTGTGCCTGCGCTGCCCGCTGTGAGCTAGTCCTTCCCTCAGCCAAGCAGGCTCCGTGTGTGTCCTCACCTCCGAGAGCCAGGGGTGGAGGCCCAGCCTTCTGAGGGACTTTCTGGTGCTCAGGGTCTCAGCTGTACCGGGGATGTGAGAATGGGGCGGGGGACAAGGTGGGGCAGGAGTACATGTCTGTGCTGCCCAGGAGACAACCAGCCCTGCCTGGCCTCCCTGGGGATGTCCCCTGTGGGTGCCTTTACTCTGGACAGTGTGACAGGCAGTGAAGCTTGGGGCTGGCTTCTGCGCCCGGTGCCCGGCAGCCTGGGGACCCAGATGGGCATGGCATGGAGCTGACTGTGCCCACTGGCCGTGGAGGGGCGCTGCCTGGTGGACACCACGTGAGGTAAAGCGGGGCTGGGTGCAGTGCAGACCCAACTGGAGAGGAAGGCCCTGGACCGTGCGCTGAGTTCTGGTCCAGCCTCTCCTGGACAGACACCAGGGTGGGGCAGCTTCAGAGGGGTGGAGGGGAGTAAGGAAATGACCCCAAGGAGAGCCTGTGCCCTGGGAACAGTGGGGCTTCGATGCCTCAGGTGATGGTAGTGGTGATGATGGTGATGGTGACGATGACGATGGAGATGGTGATGATAATTCTAATAACTCTCATGTTTACTGAGTGAACACGGGGAAACGAGGCAGAGAGTCAGCTCTGAGACTGCTTGTGCCCGGTGGCTGGGGGGCCCATCTTCCTGCCTGCTGTCATCCAAAGGCTCCCGCCGTGTCCCAGGTTCAGTTCCAGCTGGGTTCCTGGGCAGAATGCAGGCACCCATGTTACCCTCACTGCCCGTCAACATCCCATCCCCTGCAAGCTTGCCCAGACCTTGGCGGCACTTGCGGTGGCCTGGTCTCTGTGAGGGACTTAGAAATATTTGTCGAATGAATGAAGGAAGGACATGCAGGTGTGCAGGGGGTCTCACGTCCTGTGAGCCTGGGTGTGTCTCCTTCCCTGGGAGCTGGGGCAGGGGGCAGTCTCCCAACCGGGAGGGGCCTGCCTCTGCTGTCACACTTACACAGGTGGCCTTAAGGGCTGGCCTCTGCTGTCCGCTCCCCACTCCTGGTCCCTCCCAGCCCTGTCCAGGTGCAGAATCCTGCAGCTGCTCCAAGGCGCCCTCGTGTGGGCAGCAATGACTCCTGCAGGAGACGGGCGCAGAGCCGGGTCTCCAGAGGCGCCTGAAGGAGGGCCTGTGGGCTGGGCTGTTCTGAGGCTCTGCCTGAGCGTGGTGTGTGACCTGTGAAGCAGCCTGTCCTGACCCTGCACAGACAATGCCCACTGGGTACTGCTGACCGTCTGTGTGTATCTCTTGAGCCACGGCAGGGCACACAGCCTGGGGCAGGGAGCGTCCCAAGCTTGACCTTGCTGGTCGTCCATTCCTGTGAGTGCAGGCTCTGCTCATAAGGCCAGACTTCCCGGGGCTGCTCACAGACAGGTCTTGGTCCCAGCTTGAGGCTCTCAAGAGGGTCCGGAGCGGTCACACCCCAGGACAGCCCAGGTGCCCTCCCCGAGAGTCGAGCCCCTGGCATAAACTCCTATGGACGTGCAGCCCCGTTGTCAGGCAGGAGCGCCAATGCCACTGTACTCTGTGGCCAGAGTGGTGTCTCCTGCCCAGTGGTGGTTCTGAGGTCAGGCCCTGCCACGAGGCTGTGTGGACCCTGGGGTGGGGCGTCGGGGGAAGGCAGGGCCTGCAGGGGCCCACAGACATCTGGCAGCAGCCTGAATGGACCTGTGAGCAGAGCCTTCTTACCTATTGGAGGGCCTGCGTGTTTCCATCTCAGTCAGCTTTCCATCCCTGGCCCTGGGGAGGGCGGTTCAGCAGCCCTTGGCTTTTCGCAGGCCCCACTCCCATCACAGCGTCTGCAGAAATGGCTTGTGAGAGAGCCTGTTCCAATAATTTCTGCTTCCATTCCCCAGCACAGGGAACATCCCCACCTTCCTGCTCCGAGTTCCCTGGGAGGAGGGGGTTTGGGGATCAGCCCACCAGCTGGGGTGGTTGTAGACCCAGGAAAGGCAGGTGTGTGCCCGTCTCTGTAGCCATTCTTGTCGTGTCTGCTGCTGACTCCCAACAGGGGAGCCAGGACGGCCTATGCACATCCCCTCTGCGGAGACGAGGACAGCTCTAGGGACATAGGTGCCTGGCCATGCAAATGCGTCCTCTCCATGCTCCCCTGAAACGTTCCCCAGCTCTGGGTTGGCGGTCAGCTTTGGCCTCAGCTGCCCCCGGGGCAGGCTCTTTCATCCACACCTGGGAGAGGCACGGGCTTTACTCTTCCCTCTGTGCAGAGAAAACATGGTCCTCGGGAGCACGATGCTAGGAGGGAGGTGGGCTAGTGTCCGTGCCAGGTGCAGAGTGCAAGTTCTGGGCTCAGCCCCTGCGACCTGGGCACATGCCCCCCCCCACACACACACACACTGCGGCATTCATCCGATGGGGCCTGCTCAGTGGAGGCCTGAGAGCCCTGCAGAACCAGACACACAAGGGAACTGCTGGGGCACAGGTGCTCGGTTACTTCAGGCCTCCTTTATGGGAGGGTTTTGGAGGAGGATGCTCTCCGGGACCCTCACCAGAGACTGACCAGCCCGGGACAGTGCCACATGTCCTCCCCGCCTGGCTAACAGCTCGGAAGGTCCATTCTGGTTAGGAGCAGAGTCCCCCAAAAGGGAGGTGGGCAAGCACAGAGCCCAGCAACATCCCTGGTCCAGAGGGGTCTCCTACGAAGGTCCATGCTGCTGGTTCAGGGAGGTTCTGAGCAGCCCCCAGAGAAAGCTCAGATTGCACAAGGGTCACGTTCCTTCCACTCCAACAGGGACACCAGACATGGGGCTGCCCCTCAAGCCCCTTCAGTGCCAACCTGGGCCCCTCGTAAACCCAGACCAGAGGTGCCCCGAGGTGCTGTCCACACCCCGTCACAGGGGAAGGAGGGAGAAGGGGCCGCCATGGCCAAGGCCAGTGCTGTGGGGCCAGCCCTGCTGCTCCATGGCCGGGCCTCCGCCAGCTAGGGGTGACTGGGCCTTTCCCACCCTCCGGGGGGGCAGACGGAGTGGGAAGACCAGGCCCTTGCCTTCCGCTTGTCCCTGCAGCTTGTGTCTCAGAGACAGCCGGCGGGGCTGAGAGGATGCGGAGAGCAAGCCGGTGGGAGCTGAGGGGCCACAGCCTGACACCGACGTGATCCCTTCCGTGCTGGTTTTCTGTTTCCTGCCTTGGCCCAGGGGCTGGGGATGTGGGGGGAGCCAAGGTCCTGCTCAGGCTTGGAGCCTGGCCAGAGGGGTTCATCCTCCCCGCCATTAAGAGGAGAAAGTGCGCAGCTGCAGAGCAGGGCTGGGCGCTTGCTGGAGGGCAAGCGGGCGCATGCGGGCGTCTCGCCCACTGATGGGCGCTGGAGCAGCCTGTGTGCCGGTAGGCAGCCGAGTGACCCAAGGAGCATTCCGCGATGGGGGGCCGGGTGGGTGAAGGGAGGCAGCCCCACAGGGAGCTAGCAGGCCGAGCGCGTGCCAGGGCGCCAGCAGGTGGCGCTGGCTCCCGAGGACAAAAAAAAATGCCTGCAGCAAACCCGTGTGGGTGTCACTGCGGCTGCAGAAGGCGGGGGAGGAGTTTGCCACCTTCCCCCGGGCTGCGGAGCCTCACGTGCCTGAGTCCCGCATCGTCCAGAGCGGGATGCAGGGCTCGATTCGGTCAGGCGCCTTCACCTGCGCTTGTTTGGACGCTGGACGCAGGTGTAGACGTGCCCTCCTCTTCCCCTTCCCCATTTTGAGCCTCGTCCTCGAGGCTCCGGGGCGGTTGCTGGAGCTCAGTGAGGGCTCGCCCCCGCCCGCGGCCCAGCGGACTGAGGAAGGACAGACTTCGCATGACCTCAGGCCCTCCTCCACCCTTCCCTTGTTGCCATGGCAGCTGCCCAGCGCGTCCGGGGTTGGGGCAAGTGGCCCTCCGGACGCCGTTGGCCCCTCGCCCGTGGCGCCCCTGTCCCGCGGGGCCACCTCGCTGCCAGCACCGCGGACAGCGCCCCGACAGGCCCGCGAGGTGGCCCGACCTCTCCAAACCCCGCCGCGCCGCCGCCGATTTCCGGGCGCATGGCGCCCTCCCGGCCCCCCGCCAGCTCCCGCTCCCCACTACGCTGCTCCCCGCGGACCCTCCCTTTGTTTCTCCGCCCCTGCGCTCCCTCGGACGCCCTCCCGGTCCCCGCCGCCCTCTGCGGGCCCTTCAGCGCTCCGAGCTGGGGATGCACGTGGCCGAAGGCTGAGGCCGGGTGGCCCCAGCCTGGTCCCGGCCGGTCTTCCTCCTCGGTCGCCCCCACTCGCCTGCGACGCCCGAGGCTCGCGGGGCCCCTTTGTGTCCCGCAGCCAGGTCCCCGGCCCGGCAGCTGAGCCGCCCTCTGGGCGGGCGCATTGTTCGCCGGATTTGTCCGCGGCGCGAGGGGCCGCCGGGGGCCCGGCTCGCCTTCCTCCCGCGGGAGGGGCGCCGCGCTGGCCAGGCTCACGGGCCATTTCCATGAGAAAGGAGCGGCGGAGGCGCCTCTCTTGGCATTCACCGCGTGCCTTAATTGTATAGACATTAAATCAAGGTCCGCTGTGAACACGCAGAGGGGCCCTCAGGGCTGCGGCGGACGGCGAGCGGCCGGGTCGGGGTCGGGGCCGTGACTCCGGTTCGCGTGGGGTCCTCGCGCAAAGGGCGCCAACGCTCCGGCGTCTTGGCCGCGGGGCGGGCGGGGCGGGGGCTCTGCGCCACGCCGACGGCGCTTTCTCGGACTCCAGCCCGGATCCGCCCCCAACTCCGAGGAGCCCGCTCTTCTCGTCCTTCCCCAGCAGGGAGGGGGGCCCCAAGCCAGCACCTCGAGGCGTCCGGGGAGCCTGGCGCCCTGCGGAGTCGCGGCGGCGAGACGCCGAAGCCGAGCGGGCGAGCGAGCGTGTGCGCGCCCGGCCGCCTCCCGCGGGCCGCGGAGAGGCGCGGAGCCCTCGCTGACAGGGCAGCGCGACAGCCCCTCCCTGAGGTCCCTCCCCGGCCCGGCCCGAGCGCGCAACGAATGCGGTTAAAAGAAAGAATCTCGATGCTCAGACATGGAAAACAGTCTCTTTTTACAACCCGGAGAGCTCGCCCTCCCCGCGCACCAGGGCCCGGCTAAAAGGCGCTCGAGCTGTGGGTGGAGAGGAAGACGGGGAGACCCGGAGGAACCGCTCGCGGAGCTCGCCCGGCCCCCAGCGCAGTTACCCGTCCCGGGAGGGCGCTGCCGCCGCCTGCCGCTCCTAGGCCGCCGCCGCCTCCGCTCCCCGCGCCGCCCGTTCCCGCCTCTTCTGCGGTGCCCGTGGACCCCGCACGCCGCTGCCTGGGAGGAGGGCGCGGGGACGCCGCAAAGGAGCGGGACAGGTCCCCGGGCGCCGCCGGCCGGCCGGGAGCCGAGCGTCCGGGGACTCCGCGCTACAGGCTCCCAGCTCCTGCTTGCCGGGCGGGCCTGGGCTCTACCGTCCCCGCTCCCGCCGCCGCAGCTGCCTCCGCGCGTATCCGCGCTCGGCTCCGGCACCGGGCGATTATCACTGGGGCGCGCGGTGACGTCACCCGGACACCGGCTCCGCCGCCGCCTCCCCGAGGTGTCCTTGAGAACTGCGGGGCACGCGCAACGCGCACACGCGCACACACGCACCGCGCGCCCGGTGCCTCCCGCGCACACTCGCCGCGTCCCGCCCCGCGCGCTCATCCGCTCACGGACGCCGCCCTCGAGCGCCCTCGACCGTGCCCGGCGCCCCGCAGCCACACGCATGGCCGTGGAAACGCTTCTCTCTCTCTCACACGCGCCCTCGAGCCCTTCCCGCGACCCTCCCGCACGCACTCAGCGCGGCTCCTGCAGCCCCTCTGGGCGCAGCTTGGCACCCACCCGCCACGCCTCGCCGGCTCGCAGCGTAGCCCCGCCGGCGCTCCTCTGCGCTCAGGCCTTCGCCGCGGGCTTGCGCCTCCCGTGCTCCCTCGCATCGCACCCCCCCCCCCCCCAGCGGCCCCCTCCGGCCACCGGGAGCCGGGCTTGCCGAGGAAGCACAGCGTGCCGGCGCGGGCCTCGGGCTCGCTCGCTGTAGGCCCTGCNAGCTTGGCACCCACCCGCCACGCCTCGCCGGCTCGCAGCGTAGCCCCGCCGGCGCTCCTCTGCGCTCAGGCCTTCGCCGCGGGCTTGCGCCTCCCCCCCCCGCTCAGCTCGCACCCCGTCATCCCCCAGCGGCCCCCTCCGGCCACCGGGAGCCGGGCTTGCCGAGGAAGCACAGCGTGCCGGCGCGGGCCTCGGGCTCGCTCGCTGTAGGCCCTGCTGGGTGTTTATACCGAGGAGGGAGATGGCGACCCCGACCCCCATCAAAGACTGCTCCCCTTTCTCAGTGTCCTGACTGGGGTGGGGAGGTGTCGCCCCCGGGACCACGGGAGCACAGGCGACACCTCGCAGCCTGACCGCTGAGCCAGTCCCTTCCGTTGGAGCCCTTCCGAGGATGACCCTGACCCGCCTTCTAGGGCTGGGGACCAGAGACTTGCCCAAACCGCACCGCCTCTCGTCTCCCCCACTGGCCTTTGTTTCGTGTAGACGGTGGGGGAACCGCAGGCCCGGGCCTGGCCAGCAGGCTCTGCCCGCTCGCATTCCCTTCTGGCCAACCAGGCCCCTGCACCATCTGCCCTCCGAGCGCGCTCGCTGACCCTCCCACCGCGGGCGCCGCCGGCTTCCGTCCCCTCAGCCCCCTCCCGCGCTGCGGAGCCTGCGGGAGCCACGCGGGCAGGGGGCTGGGACTCTGCCCCAATCCCCGCTGGTCCTCAGCCCTCCAGGGTGCCCCTCAGTCTCACCCTAACCAGCGGTTTCTGGCCCTTTGCAGGTGTCAGGAACGGCCCTTCTCTATCGAACGGGATTCGCAGAAACCCCCCAACCCCACGCCTTCACTCAGAGGCAGAATCTTCAACACCCCCAGCCCAGCACATGGGAAGCCGCCCCAAGCCTACAGCCAACAGCCACGGCCTCACGCCGGCTGACCGGACACTGCTCCCGCTGGAGGGGTGGAGGGAGGGAGTGCTGGGCAGCTCGCCGCCGCCGCAGCTTCATCGGCCTGTCACCCTCCGTCTCTGCCGGAGCGGTGGTGGACATGGACCCGCACCCTGATGAGGCTTGGCAGTCCCTAAGCAGTGGGGTCTGCTGTCCATGGTATTGAAACTGAACCCTGAACCCCAGTCTCATCTTCCACCGCCTCCCTCTGGACTTTTTGCCCCAGTCCTCTCCCATGAAGGGTTGAGCCCAGGTGGGATTTGAGGGCAGATGCACCCACACACACACACACAAACACAACCCTTTGCTGCCTGAATAGGTCCAGGCCAGCTCTGGCTTCAAGTTCCCTGGAGCCTGTTCGCATTCTAAGGGGAGGACTCCTCAGCTTATGGACCCCAAATCTTTTTTCAGATGCCTCCTCCCTGCAGGCTGGCTCCCCCTGGGGCCAGGGGAGGGTCACTGCTCTTCACAGGCCTGCTCTCTCCCTGGCCAAGCACCTCACCACTGGCAGACCTTCCTGCGGGCAGGTGGCAGGAGGCACCCCTACCTTTGGATCAGCCAGCTTTTTGCGTGTCCCCAGCACAGCCCGCGGGCATGTCCTCTCGCCATTTTACCTCTCAGAGTCCTGGCACCGATGGGTTCACAGGCTCGTCCCTGCTATTTCCAGCGACTGGAAGCTCCCATGCTGGCCCCCTGGCCCTCGAGAGAGCCACCCTGGGTGTGGGGGTGAAGCCGAGCGGTGGGTGCCGCGTGGGAAAGGGGCCTCCAGCCTCTGCCCTGCCCGCCCACTGTGCTAGCATGATGGGGACCATCTTGGTGGCCTCAAAGCCTCCGTAGGTTTCATCAAAGTCAACTTACTGCTGCCAGGCTTGGTGCGGGGTTGCACTCCCGATGGCTCCTTGGGGACTGGCCAGCCTCACCCGCCCAGCCTTCTCTCCACCGGTGCCCTTGCGGCCGCTTCTCCCCAGCACACCAAGAATTAGTGTTTGTGGAGTGATTTATTTGCCAGCTTCGAGAGTCGGGGCAGGGGGCTGGGCAGCTCGGGGCTCCGGGTTCCAGGCGGCTGCCTCCATGTGCACAAAGACGCCTTCCCCTCGTGCGGGCCGGCAACTTGGATACGGGTCAGGTGGCTCCTGGGGCGGGATCCGGAGCAGGAAGGGAGGGACTCGGTCGGGACCCCCTCCCCCTTCCTTCCAGTCCGCCACCGTGAAAGCTTGCGAAGAGCGTGGGATTAAACAAATCCACAGAAACAGTGTAGAACCCCTTCCTTCCTGCTCCTGCTTCCTTGTCACATCGCCGCCCCCTCCTGGGCACCAGGCTTGTCATTCCTCCAGAAAGGGGAGGGGCACAGTCACATCTGGGAACAGCTGGCTCTTGGCCTCATGACCCGGCCCTTTTCCAAGGTGTGGGAAGAGTGCAGATTGGGGTCTGGGGACTGACAGGGGTGGGGGAGAGTCTGAAGAGCAGTGGCAGGGACCTGTGTGCAGATGTGTGTGGTGGGGGACACAGGGCTCCCAGCCCAGGGGAGGATGGGGCAGTTTGCTTGCACGGGCGGGCACAGGGGCTCCAGGTCCAACCCCTGCTCTGCGTCCCTTTAGCCTCAAAATGGCCCACAGCTTCCAGCCTCTGGCTTGGGTGGTCCAGGCAGCTGAGAGGCCTCCACCCACAGGCCTGCTTGTTCAGGAGGCCCAAGTCACCTCCCATGAGACACCAGTGAGTCCAGACATTGCCCCGGGGAAAGCACCCCCCATCAGGGGGACTGCTCCCACAAAGCAACTAAGGCTCCCAGAGGTGGGACAGGTAGGTGCCTGACCCCATGGGGGCGGCCCCCAATCCAGCTGGGACCCTCCGCTCTCCTCCCCCCTGGGGCTCCCCCACCTCACGTGCTTGGAGAAGCTTCGCCCGGCTGCTTCTTCCTGTGTGGCTGGGGGGTGGGCGTGCACACACTGCACAACCTCCCCCGGGCTCAGGCAGGTCTCCCCTGTCTCTCCATGGGGCCTGATGGGCACAGAGTCCCTCCCCTCCCCTTTGAAGCAGGTGGGGGGCCGGGACCCCTGCCACGTCTGAGTGCTGAGGGCGGAGCGAGGGACCACAAAGGAGGCAATTGTGAGCCTGGCAGTAGCACGATGGGGCGGGGGCGCTCAGGGGCCAGGGGCTCCCGCATGGAAATGAGGCCTCGGCCCTTCCCTGCTGCTCCCGGCCCCCCTGCTCCCGCCCTCCTCCCGGCCCTAGCCCGGCCCCACAAAGAGGGACGGACCGCAGAGCGCCCAACAGCCCAAAGGGGCAGCTGCCTCCATCCTGGTCCAGGGAGGTCACTGGGCCTGAGGCTGTGGAGCTGCTCGACTGTGGTGGCCTCGGAGTGCTTGCTGAGGGGGGCCAGGTAAGTGGGCCCTTGGGCCCCGCTGGAGGCAGGCGCTGCCGTCCCAGGCAGGGTCTGGAGTGAGGGCTGCTGGCCGGATGCCTGGCCAGTGGCGGGAGCAGGCCTTTTGTCTCCCAGGCAC